CCCTACACTTAGGCCTTCAACCCAAGAAAGTCAGGGTAGGGGGTGCTCAAGGTGGGAGAGACATCTTGCTACCCCAGTCTCCTCATGCTGGGGGCCTCTTCCCTGTTAGCACTCTCTTCAAGGCACCCTGCACATCAGGGTTCCGGAGGCTGTAGATGACGGGGTTTAGCATGGGACTGAGGATGGTATTGAGGATCCCAATCCCTTTGTCCTTGTCTGAGGCTGAGACTGAGCCTAGACGCATGTAACTGAAGAAGCCAGTTCCATAGAAGATGCAGACCACAGTGAGGTGGGAGCCACACGTGGAGAAGGCCTTCTTCCTCCCCTCCGCTGAGCGTATTCGCAGGACGGCAGCTGCAACATGGGCATAGGACACTGAGATAAGGATCATAGGGATCACTCCCATAAAGGTGGCCCCCACAAAGAGCAGTTGTCCATTGAGGTGGATGCTGGAGCAAGAGAGCTGGAAAAGAGGTGGAAGGTCACAGTAGAAGTGGTTGACCACATTAGGTCCACAAAAATCAAGCACAGACACTGCCACTGTGTGAGTCAGAGCATTGATGAAGGAGATGGTGCAGCAAATGCCCACGAGAGCACCCTGGACTTCCCGGCTCATGCGGGTGCTATAGGTGAGAGGCTGACAGATGGCCAGGTAGCGGTCATAGGCCATGGCTGTCAACAAGTGGCAGTCCACACCAGCCAGGAGGTGAAAGAAGAAGAGCTGTGAAATGCAAGCTGCATAGGGGACTCTGCACTGGTGGGCCAGGAGACATGCCAGCATTGGAGGAACTGTGACAGTGATGCACCCAATGTCCAGCAGAGACAGGTTCCCCAGAAAGTAGTACATGGGAGTGTGGAGTTTGGGTTCCACAAAGATGGCAGCCAGGATGCTGAAGTTGCCTCCAACTGTGATTACATAAGCAAAGAGGAAGACAGCAAACAGGATGGGTTGTAGTCCTACATTCCCTGTCAGACCAAGAAGGATGAATTCAGTGACAGTTGTCCTATTCCCCCAGGCACTTGGTTCCATAAGACACTGCTGAGAGATGTAGTGGGAGGAGAAGTTTTGGACCTGCCAAAAGGGAAGAGTGACACATAGAAGACACATAATATATGGTTACTGGATGCTGTAGTGTTATGGCATGGACACCTGCCAATCAGAATGAATACCAGCCTAGAACTTGACTAGGCTCCTGAAGGTCCCTACTATGTCAACATCAACCCTTCAAGGAAAGATTGAGGGGTCCCAAGGAAAGGCTGACGTTGAGAGAACTAGTCTGGGGACTTGGAACAGTGGCTATTTACCAACATGATATAGAATTATTTTTGTATTTTAACAACTATTAAGGTCATGTCTGTGTACAGTGGTGACTGACTCACATCTCTGATTATCTCAGTGAATAAATGAATACATGAGGTTCTAGAAAGCACAATATAGAGAGAGTAGCAACATAAAAGAGATGAACAGAAGGACAAGATCCTATGAAATCAAAAGAGATACAAGAGAGAGTTAGAAAACAGAGGAGCAAGGAGTGGTAGAAAAACAGGAGACTAAAAATGAAGATCTGGGGACCAGCAGATGGCATAATGGTTATGTCACTGGACTCTCATGTAGTTGAGCATGGTTCAAGTCCCCGACCCAGCAACTTAAAATCATGCTGGGCGCATGTGCATGCATGCCCAATATCCTGAGAAGAGAATGAAGGAGAGGGGATTGTGGCATGGTTATCCTCTTTTTGGGGGGGGGGGGGGGGGTTGATTTCTTTCTTTCTGTCTCTCTATCTCTCTCTGTTCCTCCAGCAAGTGCATATGCCTTATTGCAAAAATGAACAAACAAACAAAAAATGAAGATGTGAAGGCAATTTTAGAAAATACTAATGAAATTTTAAAGTGTATACCAAGAGTATTATGTTAAACACATCATATTTACTTTCTCATTTAATTATTACAAAGCTTTATAGGGTAACTACTATCTCTATGTAAACAACATCTTAAGGGTTAGAAAAGTGAAATAAGGAGTCCAAAGACATAAAGCTCTTGACAGAGCTGAGTCTCAAACATGAGACTTCCTGACTCCTAAGACCTCATCTTAACACAACATTGCTTCATAAAGAACTTGGATGACATAGGGATATTGAGGGTCAGTAAATGACATTATGTACAATAAAGAGAAGAATGGTATCTCCAAAGTTCTGGAATTTAGCATCACTACAGCTATTCAAGAAAGTCAAGATCTAACCCACTCATCCTTTTATTCAACAATTATTTGTTTAATGTAGGATTCTGGATATATTTTAATGGTAGAATAAACAAAGTGGGTATGAGGTCTGAGGGAAAG